GTTAGATAGCTGTCATCAAAAAGACAAAAGACAGTGCATATCTGTAAGGATATGGTAGTAAAAGAACTTTTCAAAATTTTATGGAACCAAAAATTATTAGAAAACAGTGAGGAAATTCCTCACAAAGTTAAAAATAAAATGACCAAGGAGTGTCAGGTTACATGTCCAAATGTACATGAAAACATTGTCTTAAAATAATATTTATTGTCTCATTTCTATTACATCATTATTCATAACAGTCAAGATAGTGATCAACTAAGTGTTCGAAATGAATGAATAAATACTGTGGAATAGTGTGTCTTTGCATGCATATAATGAAATGCTGTTCAACCTTAAAAGGTAAAGGAAACTGTCATTTTCAATGACATAGACAAACCTAGAGGACATTATGTTAAGTGAACCAAACCAAGCTCTTTTAGATGAATACTGTGTGATCTCACTTATTTGTAGAAGCTACACATTTCACTCATGAAGGCAGAATGGTAGTTGTCAGGGCTTGAAGTATGGGAGTAACAGGGACATTTGATCAAAAGATTAATATCAAGTTTCAATTAAACAAGAATAGTATGTTCTGGATATCCAATATACAATATGGGGCACATAGCTAATAATAATATGTCATGTTTGAAATTTACTCAGAGAACAAATCTTAAATCTTACCAGAGCAAAAACATAATGTAGGAGGTGATTGATTTATTAATTATCTTGATTGTGGTAATCATTCCAAAATTTACACACACACACACACACACACACACACACACACACACACATGAAATATAGTTTTACTTGACAATGATAGCCCAATAACACTTCACATAACATTATTTTATAACACATATTTAGGTTTTTAGTTTTTAAATAGCAATAAGTATGATTATTATGTTCACAAATCCAATTATTCATTAAAATACAAATTGAGAATAGTTTGGTTTATCTCTGACAACTCATCACAATGATTAGCATGAAATCAAAGTACAAAAACATGCTAGATGATCAGGCAATGGAAGCACAGAGGGTTAAAAAATCTCAACATGGACTTACAAAAAATGGATATTAGCTCTAAAGTAAAAGATAACCATGCTACAAAGAAGCTAAGAAACATGGAAAGCTCAAGGGGGTGGGGAGACACATGAATCTCACTGTAAAGAGGAAATAGAAGAGACATCACAAGTGGACAGGGGGAGGAGTCTGGATTGGGGTGGGCATGGTAACAAGAGTGATAATGGGGGAAGGATGGGAGACAGAGTACTGGGGAAGACAACTGGAATCAAGCATCTAAGGGATGAGCTAGAAATCTAATGCAAGGAAAAGCCCAGGAATCTAGATGGTGACCCCTCGCTAAGAGTCCTAGCAATGAGAGATACGGAGCCTGAATCCACCATCTCCCATAAGTAGGCAAGACTTCCAGTGGAGGACTGGGGTACCAAACCAGACATATAACCTTTGACTTACAATTTGCCCTGCCCACAAGATATGCTAGCATAAAGATGATGAAGAAATTATAGGAGTGGCCAACCAATGACTGGTCCAGCTTGAGACCCATAACCAGGCCTGGAGAGCCAGAACCAAATGATTCCTAATTATATTCTACAATTCTACTATACTCATAATTCATTGCCTATCCCAATTGTCATCAGAAAGACTTTACCAAGCAACTGATGGAAACAGATGAAAAAAGAGCCACAGCCATATATTATGCAGACCTCAGGTAATCCTGTGGAAGAGAGGGAGGAAGGATTATGAGAGCCAGAAGGGCCAAAAACACTACAAGAAAACTCACAGAATCAACTAATTGTGGCTCATATGGGCTCACAGAGACTCAACCACCAACCAGAGAACTTGAATGGGACTGATTTAGGCCCTCTGCACATATACTGCAGTTGTATAGCTTGGTCTTGTTGGGGCTCCTAACAGTGGTAGCAGGGGCTGTCTCTGACTCTGTTATCTGCTTTTGCCACCCATCCCTCCTACTGGGTTGCCTTGTCCAGCTTTAATAGGAGAGGAGGTGCCTAGTCTTACTGCAACTTGATATGTCATGGCTGGCTAATATACATAGAAGGCCTACCTTTTTCTGAAGAGGAATATATGGGAGGAAAGAGGGGAAAGATTAGAAAAGAGGGAGGGAGAAGAAAATTTGATCAGGTTTGGAAATAATTAATTAATTAACTAATTAATTAATTAATTAAAAAACTGTGAGCTGCAATAAACTCTTCATCCTGAGAAAGAAAGGAGAGAGAGAGAGAGACAGAGAGAGAGATGGAGGGAAGGAGAGAGGAAAAAAGAAAGGAAAGAAGAAAGAAAGAAAGAAATGAAAGAAGAGCTATTCCTAAGTTGCGGCTTGTAATTTCTCATGGAAATTAAAGTAGTTATCCTGAAATACAAGAGACTAGAATCCCTGGGGGATAGACAGCAAACTGACACACATGAGGAAGTGTGGAGTTCATGGATCTCATTATTGTCTCCTGATGGCCCATCCACACATGTCAGTCTGGAAGCATAAGAATGCACAGGACCAAACCAGAAGAATATTGCAGCATTGAGAAGAGGAGGTGGATGCAAATTCCCACTTCCAATCAAGAAGTTATTTGCAATTGACACCTGCTGGGAAAGGGAGAATCAGTTTCCTTCAGTAAAGTGTCCCTGGATATATCAATCATGCTCCACGATAGGCCCCATGCCCAGGAGTAGCTGGTCAACACAAAACACACTCCATATTTTATTTTGTTTGGTTTTGTATACTTTCTATGCTTTTTGGTTTGGTTTGGTTTCTCTTATTTTTTTTATTTGCTTGTTTGTTTTGATTTTTGGTTTTTGTTTTGGATTTTTATGAGAGAGAGAGAGAGAGAAAGAGCATGTAATTGGGTGGGTAGGGAGATGGAAAGATTCTGGAAGGAATTGGGGAAGGGAAAGAATATAATCAAAATATACTGTATAAAAAATTAAGAAAAAAAAGACCCAAAAGAGCATGTTAAAATTTAAAAACTGACCTCTTTTGTATCAAACAACTTGAAGATAAGCTGAGAGCACTATAGAGTTGTTCCCAGCATCCCCAGGCTGCATTTCTACCCATCATTCTCAAGTGTCTTAGGTACCCTGGTGTCTTATTGATTTACATATATATTTTGTACTTCTGCCAGATTGATTTTCATTCACCTTTTGTAGTCAGACTTTCTTTTAGACTGCCAACTCCCCAATAACAACATGGAGACTCTATTAATCATGAATTCTTGGACTTGCCTTAGGCTTGCTAACAACTAGCTCTTAAAACTTAAATTAACCCATTTATATTAATCTACATTTTGCTACATGACTCATTATCCATGCTGTATAGCCAACTTCCCTATGTCTTGCTGGCAAATCCTCTGCTTCTTAGATCATCTGAGAGTTCCTATCTCCCTCTAGAAGTTCCCTATCCTCTCCTGTATAGCTATTAGCCATTCAGCTGTTTATTAAACCAATCAATAATCTGTGACACATCTTTACACAGTGCACAAAAAGATTATTCCACAACAACCTTTGATTATTAATTCTGGTTTTAACCATCCCTTTCTGCTGTCTATATCTTATTTGTCTATACCTTGCCTTCTTAGAAGTGGTGTCCCACCTTCTGGTTCCGGAATCTAATTTCTGCTTATTCATCAACATTTTTTATGAAGGAATGGAGACTAAGCCTTCACCCTTGAGTGTACAGCATAACATTTGCATCTCTTCTACAAACCCCCTCTAAATAATGGTTCATCATCTGACTGTGCATTTTCTGTGAAGGTTAATAAAATGCCAGGATATGCCTAATCAAAAACTCATGACATATCTCTTCCAGATCTAAATGTGGTTCTGCTTGCATTTAATTTTGACTGTAGTTTCTAACAACGTGTGTGTTTTTGCGCAACAGAGGAAATATCTACTAGAACTAATTTCATTGAATTACATTGATTTCTTTATGGGTAGGTTCTGACTGAGTTCATTTGTTACCTTTGTAGGCAGATTTCAGTAATTATCCTAGGACCCTTTAATTTCCCAAGTCTGCTGGTCTGCTCTGTGATGAGTATATTCTGCTAGTATTAGTCCCCTGCAGCTGACTGTCAATGCAAGAAAAACTTTCTTGTTCAGTAGTTTCAGTGCATATTTGCATGAGCACACACACACACAAAAACACAGACATCATCATCATCATCATCCATCATCACCATCATCATCCCGGTGGAAGGTTTGAAGCTTGTTAACTTCTCAAAGGAGTTTATTTTGTACTAGGTTTTATCCAGGCCTTAGAAAACACAATGAACTTCATTATTCAATGTAAAACAACCATGCCTTTCTCAGTTATTGAAATCTTAGTGTTCATGGAGGAGCCTAGTCTAAAAAATATATACCTTTCTTAGAAATTGTCATATAATATCTGGGTATCATTACTGCTCTGTCATAAACACCCTAATAAAATTATTCATTATTTTATTTTATCTGCTCAACTCAAGGATGCTTTGTAGTTTGTCTCCCGATTGGATTTCAACTGATAAAATATAACAGAATGGAAGGCTTATAGGTATAAAATGAATGGTATATCTTTTTGCTACATGACCAATATTTAATAGACAACAAAATTTGCAAAATAAAGAATTAATGTGGACCCCAGAATCTAAAGTTAAACATTAAATATGTTAGTTTCATTATCATTAATGATCAGCAATCTCAATATTACATAAAGTTATTACTATCAAAACTAATATTCTAGGTTCAAACTTTTTAGAATCTAGAAATGTTTCAGATTTTCAGTCACTTTACAGATATTTGCTGATTCAGAAGCACTTAGTTGTGATGACAGATATATGAGACAGGAGAACATAAATATGGATGATAGCCCAAGTTTAAATTTTCACTGAAATAGCTATATCCAAATAAAATCCAATTCTATATTATAGTTGACATTCTCATCTCTAGAGCAAAAAAAAATGGTGGCCAAGAGTCCATGTATTGTCTCTATATGTAAAGTTCAATGACGTTTAATTTTTATCTGAACTTACTTTTTTTCTCCAGAGCTTCCTTATTGCATTTTTTACCTCAGCATTCCTCAGGGTATAGATTAATGGATTCAACATAGGAGCCACCATTGTATAAAAGACAGCGACAGCCTTATCAAGTGGCAGAGTGGTCACTGGACGTAGATACACAAATATGCAAGGAATAAAGAATAAAACCACTACCGTGATGTGAGACACACAGGTGGAGAGGGCTTTGCGCCTGCCCTCTGAGCTATAGTTCTTTAGAGAGCGCAAGATTATCACATAGGATCCCATCAAGAGGAGGAAGTTAAACAGGCAGATGAACCCACTGTTGGCAGCAACAAAGAGACCAAGGGTATGCGTGTCCATACAGACAAGTTCCAACAATGGGTACAAGTCACACATAAAATGGTCTATGATGTTGGGGCCACAGAAGGGCAGCCAGACTGTAAAGAGGATCTGAACAGTTGCATGGATAAACCCTCCAGTCCAGGCCACTCCCACCAGGAGAATGCATAGCTTGTGGCTCATGATGGTCATATAATGCAGAGGTTTGCAGATGGCCACATAGCGGTCATAAGCCATCACTGTCAAGAGGATGATCTCAGTAGCACCAAAAATGTGCTCTGCATAGACTTGTGCCATGCATCCATTAAAAGAGATGACTTTCTTCTCTTGAAGGGAGTCCACAATCAGCTTTGGAGCTGAAGAGGAAGTGTAAATCGTATCTATCAAGGAAAGGTGGCTCAGGAAGAAGTACATGGGGGAGCTCAGAGCCTGGCTGTTGATGATGGTGACCACAATGAGCAGGTTGCCTGAAACTGTTACCAGGTACAGAACCAAAAATGTCACGAACACTGCTTTCTGCATTTGGGGGTTCTGTGTAAGACCTATCAAGATGAACTCAGTCACGTTCCTTTTATTCTCCATCTGTGTAGTATGGTTAATTTGTTTTAATCCAAAAAGAAATACTTTATCTTTAGGAAAAAAGAAAGGAGAAAATTGTAAAATAATTAAATAGTCCCAAACTCTAATCTTAAAAATTCTACCATATCACACATTAGAACTAGTCTTCCCCAAACTCCATAAAATAGGTCAAACATTTTTTTAGTTGACTTTCCTAGTCTTTATTTTTTTAATTAAAAGAAATTCTTAAAAGACCTAGAACACTCTAAAGGAAGGTCATTACCTACAATCAGAAGAGCAGTTTCAAACTTCACTTTTATATCAGAATGAGGTAACAGAGTAATCATTAGCAGCAAAAATTTTGGAGATTAGCAAGACATATATACATACACACACACATATATATACATACATATATATACATTATTATATGTGATAAGGTAATTTACAACCATGAAATAGTCCTTAAATACTAGATCTAGTTGTGTACATTTAACAGAAGGAAAAAGTTAATGGTAATAATTTTGTAATTAGTACTTGAAGATTCTGTCAAATACTATTAAATTTTGAAGTTTTCACATAAAATTTTATATAGACTGTGAGTCACTGATGTTAAAACACAAGTATATTTGTTCCATTTTCTTCACATCTTTGCAGAAATGGAAGGAACTTTAAGTGAAATAAGTCAAATATTAATAGCATACATTCTCTCTCGTAAGTGGAGCATTTATCTAAGGGTACAAGTAGAAATGGAAGACAAAGGGCTCGAGAACAGGTACTAAACAAGGAAATACCCAGAGATGGTGCTGACACAGACTCCACAGCACAGTGGATGACTACAGTTCACAGGAATCTATCATCTGTTTTATGAAGATCTGAGAGGAGCTCAGTCTCCAGATACAGAGGTGAGAATAAGAGGGAAATATTAATGGCCCTGACTTGATCAGTACATACTGTGCAAATATGTGGGGAAAAAAACACATTGTGCCCCATTAATATATGCAATTATTACATGTTAATCAATAACATGTAATTGAACTGCTCGGTGGTTAAGCGTGAACACTGCTCCTCCAGAGGAGCTCAGTTCAGTTCCTAGCACCCACATCAAATGGTTCACAATCAAATACAACTCCAGCTCCAGGCAATTCTGAATTCCTCTCATCACAGAAACCCTCATTCACATGTGCACGTACAAATAGACACACACCCAATTTTTCAAAAAATAAAAGCATGATAATATTTCATAGCCATTCAAAACATTTATTAAAAAATTAATTACTTAAAATATTGAGGGCATTTACTCCAAAATATAAGATTATGGGTGACTTGTTATTTCTTTCTTTAATTTTTTCATCATTTTTCAAATTAGCATAGACTGCTAATTTTATGACCAGAAAATAACTTTGATTTCTGTATTTAGTACTATACTTGAAAATAGGAGTATTCAAAGCTGAGTAAAATAAGACACAACAAATATAAAGTATTATACATTGGCACATTGTGGAAATCCAACTAATAGTATCTGAATGTAGCTAAAAGATAATGGAGTGTTCTCATAAAACTGTGCTTGTCAACTCACCAAATGAGCATAAGACAAGGACATGAATGAGCACTAGTGAATTGGCACTCAGGACAGAGGATGCGAGTGCCCTGGTCACCACACACAGAACTTAGAAACACCCTGAATGTCATCTTTATTCTACAGTCAAATACAGGCTTTCATTTGAACTCATCCCATTAGTCAGCACTTTACTTGAGCAGTAAATAAGTCAAGCCTGAATAATCTACCAGAATTCACTTAATAACAAAATCTGTTTCATTTACTTGATGAAGAATGCAGATATCACTCAAACGTCATATTACTTAAAACTGCTTTGTCATTATCAGTTTTCATTTTTTCCTGGGCGTCAAATTTCTTTTTTTTTTTAATGTGTTCAGACACAAGAGAACTGTGGAGGGTAAGATAAATTTTCCCCATCACATGTGGTCATGAAACATACTGAAGTCTGTGGGAAAGAGTTGCCTTTCCAAGCAACTTCAAGAATACTTCATTGAGATTCAGACCTTATATCTCTAAGCCCAGGATCACAGCCTCCCTTCTAAATAGCCCAAAGTATCAGAGAATCCTCCCAGGAACAAAAACCCCTGGGAACAATAAGGAGTGCATTTTTTTAATTGCCAGGTCTTCTCTAGAGAAGTTAATCCTTGGAATAACAAAGACTGGACTAATAAATATTTATAAATTCTAGAATGTAAATGCCCAAATCATATTTCATGATCAAAACCAAACATAACCCAAAACAGGACTCATTCAGTTAGTAATTATATTTCCTTCAAATTTTCAAGTAATCTAAATATATTTTAATTCTTTTCAAGTATTCACATTTGTCCTTTTCCCTCACACCATGCAGACACAAAGACAAGCTGAACAACTCAGCCATATGTCAAAACTGATGTCTTTCATGTTCTATGGCATATTAAAGGAATAAATGAGTTTTGTTCCCTGCCCTGGTCCAAAGACTAATAGTATGCCCTGTGGTGTTTGCAGAGGAGCAAGAAGAAACTGGTCTTCCACAAAAGGAAAGACTGCAACGGAGAGGCAAGGACAAACATGGACAACCTCATCTCACACTGAGAAAACCTGGTCACCTATTTCAACTCCTGTGCTCAGATATTGGGCCATGAACCCTTTACTGTACTCTGCTTTTCCACATTTGTGAAAGCATGCTGAGGCTCGCATGTCCTGCACAAGCTTCCTGTGGGACATCCTTATACTGAGCACTGGCCACGTAGTTGGAACTGTACTAAGTGATTTGTGTGTAGTATTTCACCTATTCTTTTCAACAGTGTCAAAAGGTTTAGACACCTTTAAATTGATATTTTAAAGAAAAGAAGACTACACTGCGATTAGAAAATAAAGAACTTACCTAAAGTCCCAGTGATAAAATGTGAAGGAGCCTGTATCCAAATCCAGGATGTCTGTCTCTAGCTCTTTAGCATTTACTCAGTGCCAGCAATCTCCAATGAAGATCAGTTTACTTTGAGGGTTAGCATTGCCAAAACCCAGAGAAGTGAGATAGTACCTTAAAGCCAGCAGCTGTGGTCACAGGGAAGCTCCAGAGTCCTCCACTAAGCTGCAAAAGAAAATCAGATGGTAATGAGTTCAGGCTTCCAGTCTGCAAGCCTCCAGAACTGCTAAGAAATGCCTGGGTACTTTGTAATTATCAACTTGTACATACTTTAAAGTTGAGGAGCCAAGGGCCAGGCAGGTGAATTTCAAGGAACCAGAGCTTATCAGTCAGTGACAGAGGACAAGAACAGCCTAGGTCCACTAAACTCTAACACTGGTATTTTCTGCCTCTGCGTCTCACCTTTCATAGGATGATACAATGTAAATATATACAAGGAAACAAGAGACCTAAAGGAGAGAGCTTAACTTCCTTCCACTTCCTATTTATCAATACCTTTCTCTATTCTCATCTTAAGGTCACAGATACTTAGTCATGTAACTTGAAACTGATCTACTATTGTAAGGGCAAGCTCTCACTGCTTAATACAATACCCAAGAACATTTGATGAGGTCAAAATTAAAGTGTCTCTGAGCCTGAACTTCTAATTCAGATTCCCAATCACAGCAGAAAATATCCTTTCCCATGCCAGATTCTGAATTTTTAGTGCATTCATCTTTGAACCTCAGTGTCAGAATTGAAATAATTCTTTGGAAAAACAGAATTCAAACGCTAATCCTCTCCCTCCTGTTCTGACCTGTCTCAACTGTAGTGAAGAGCCAAAGAGCCTTATTTGATTCTCAGTTGCATTCTGGGTCTCCTCCTCTTGGTACAAGTTGGTATTTTCCTTCTGAGAACAGCTACAACATTTTTTCTGGAAAACATGTGACTGCGTAAGTCAGTGAACTATCCAGACCAGCATTTCCTATGCCCTGCTCAGCTGTAAACTCTCAGTAACCCACTCAACTACTTCAGTCTCTCTATACTCTTCCCACGCTCAAACCCTAGAGATGAGCTTTTGCAGTTTCATGAACTGTAAGCATCTTCCTAATAGATTTAATACACATACATATCCATATCTACCATTCAAAGGAACAAATACTTTAGCAAAATCTGAAAACATTCAAAAGGCATTGTTTTGATGAAATCTATTACAAATTTCTTATGGGGGAGGTTAGAAATATTAAATTAAATTTAAATATTAAAAATCAGAATTCTGGGAAACTTACTGTAGGTCCTGCTGTAGTTGAGGAGAATGTCCAGTGTCATCAGAAACAGAGTGATTATTTCATACAACTACTTAAACAGTATTGTATGTAATGTATGCACCCCCTAATCCACAATGACTAAACAATACTTCAGGGCAGAGACTGTCAATTGACACAAATTTTAAATGCATTTAACAAGCACTTTCAAATCTTGATGGCTTTGTAACTCCCATCAAAAGAAAATGCACTATTGAATTAGACACTCATAGATCTCCCTACTAAAGGGGATCTTCTAATCTTCCTTACCTAGATCAAGTTACAAAGCAAGACACAAATGTCGACCCTTTAATTCTTCCAGTGGAAGAAGAAGAATGAAACCATGTATAGAAAGGCTACTGAGTGCTTTATTAAAGGGCAAGTCTGTCTCACCTTTACCCTCCCAGGATTAATTATTTCTATTTTTTGAAGAGTTTGTCTTAGGAACAGATATTTGGTAGTATTTATCTCTAAACAATTCACGTGATTAGTTCTTTTTCCTGCAGTTGAAACTAATTTATGAACAGTCCATATCTCTGGTCTGGAATATTGTTATGAAGCACATATCACATAAGCCCTTGAGGACCATGATTGGGACATAAAGGGCTCTCACTACTGTATGGATAACAACCTGGGGTTTTGCTCACTGTGTGTCCCTGGGGGAACTTTCTTGCAGTCTGAGATCTTGTGTGAGACGGAGACACTTAATCCCTCAACTGTTCTAGAATGCATCAGTACTCTTTCTGTCCATAGGAATGAGTTTTGGAAACTGGTGGAGTTTTAAGCAGCG